GACGATCCCACTGACTCAGCCAGTTGCCTATGCACCGTGCTAAGTACGCACCTTGTAAATTATCGTTGCTTTTTTCCCACTCTTTCATTTTGTTATGCCAACACAATCAAGCGCAGCTATTCCGCTGCGATTCACTTGATCATGTGGTTGTTGGTTTTGTTGGTTTTTGCTAATAATTCTATTTTTAGAATGTTTAACTTTTAGGTGTGCTCGTCCTTAAGTTATCTGTTTTTTTTTGTTATTTTATAGCCTTATAACAATTATATTCAACAATTTTGATTGAGCTCGCGGCCGTTTTTTAATGAAAGTGGAATGTGGAAAAGCAACAATAATTAGAAAAAATGGTAGAAGTGATAGCTATTTCGGAAATCACCACATTTCCTCATCAGACTTCTTTCAGTAGGATTCGAACCGACGATCCCACTGACTCAGCCAGTTGCCTATGCACCGTGCTAAGACGCCTTGTAAATTATCGTTTGCTTATTTCCACTATTTTCATTTTTGTTATGCCAACACAATCAAGCGCAGCTATTCCGCTGCAATTCACTTGATCATGTGGTTGTTGGTTTTGTTGGTTTGTGCTAATAATTCTATTTTTAGAATGCTTAACTTTTAGGTGTGCTCGTCCTTAAGTTATTTGTTTTTTGTTATTTTTTGGCCTTTTAACAATTATATTCAACAATTTTATAATGAGCTCGAGGCCATTTTTTAAATGAAAATTTATTGTGGAAAAGCAACAATAATTTGAAAAAATGGTAGAAGTGATAGCTATTTCGGAAATCACCACGTTTCCTCATCAGACTTCTTTCAGTAGGCTTCGAGCCGACGATCCCACTGACTCAGCCAGTTGCCTGTGCACTGTGCTAAGCTCGCCTTGTAAATTATCGTTGCTTTTTCCCCACTTTTTCATTTTGTTATGCCAACACAATGAAGCCCAGCTATTCCGCTGCGATTCACTTGATCATATAGTTGTTGGTTTTGTTGGTTCTTGCTAATAATTCTATTTTTAGAATGTTTAACTTTTAGGCGTGCTCGTCCTTAAGTTATTTGTTTTTTTGTTATTTTATGGCCTTATAACAATTATATTCAACAATTTTTATTGAGCTCGAGGCCGTTTTTTAATGAAAGTTTAATGTGGAAAAGCAACAGTAATTAGAAAAAATGGTAGAAGTGATAGCTATTGCTATTGAATATAGTTGTTATAAGGCCATAAAATAACAAAAAAAAACAAATAACTTAAGGCACGAGCACAGTACCGCCTAAGTGGGCAAAAATCGAAAAATTCGTTGTCTGCACTGTGAACGTGTTTGGGATTTTTGTTAAGGTAATTTATCCACTAAAAACGATTAAATAGAAATTTCCCTATGAAATGGATAATATGCCGCCAGGAAACCACTAACGTCGACAAATTTTATGCTAATAATATTAATAAGAGCATAGCCGTGCGTAAGCTCTTCACCGAAACAAATGTCGAAAATATATTCTTTGATATAAAATGTTGGTTTGACGTTTTTTATTTCCATATAGATGGTAGAGAGCTACAGGATTAAAATTATATTGGAATAAAATTACACACGGGGTGTCCCTGCGGTACTCCAGAAAAACAATTTTTTTTTGTATGAATAAAAAATATATGTAAAAATATGTTATTTTTTAATATTTTATTCAATAGTACGGGTTTTTGGCTTTCGAAAGAAGAGATAACAACCTCCTAATTTTTTTTTTTTTTAAGTAAACAATGCATTACTAATGCTAATGCATAAAATCATTATTTAATTTTTTGCCAGTGCCATAAGATCTGCACGATTCGTTCTATTTTTAAAAATGAAGTGTCAGATTAAAAAGATTGACCTGTAGACAATAGAGGTTTTTTTTTAAAGAGTTGCCACCTGTTAAAAATTAAATTCAAATTTTTTAATGAGTTAAATAAATTATTAAGAGATGGGTATCAATCGAAATGTGTAAGAAAAGGTTTTGTTTCTTAACTACATGTAGAGGGTTGCAACTAGAGTCCGACCGATTACTCGGCATCGGCATCAACATCGGCTAGTATCGGCACAAAATTGAGCATCGGCATCGGCTTTTTTTGCCGATTCTTTGCCGATTATTTGGAATTTCTTTTCATATGTTCACGTGAAGCGACAGACAACAGCCAACATGAAAAAACATTTGCAGACAGCTCACAAAAACGCTTTTTTCATACAAAAGTATGTTCGACAAATTTCTTTTATATGGAGGACGCTGCCAGCAAAAAAAAATTGCTAAAAATTAACTAGATTTTATAGCAGCTTGAAACTTGCACTTCATTATACTAGAATTAAATGGCCTACAAAACTGCATTCCAAAATTCTGATTAAAAAGTTTGAAATTTTGGTGAAAATATGTGGAATTTTTATAATTTTTATACAAAGTTTGAAATCTGAATTTATATGGTGTTTATTGTATACCAGCTAGACTTTTATAAAAAAATAAAAAACATTAAATAAACAAAAGACAAATACCAAATGCCACAACCGGTCAAAATATCGCAATTCTTTTATTTAGTAGACCACTA